GTGCTGGTATGATCTTGGTATTAAAATTGTTGGAGATTTGTTTGAGAGGGATGCACTGTTGTCTTTCAAACAAATAAGGGCCAAATTTGGTGTACCATCTCAACATTTTTATGGCTACCTCCAGGTCAGACATTTTATTAATAGCCTAGGTCTCACTGAAGCCCAGCCAATAACCTCAGCTATTGACTCATTTTTGTTACAATGTCAACATAACAAGAAAATTATTTCCCATTTCTATAGGAAACTACAGTCCCTCAAACTATGTAATATTGATAAAATTAAAGGTTTATGGCACAGGGACTTGGCAACTGAGTTTGGAGAGGAAGCATGGTCAGATGCAATAGCATGAATAGGCAAGATCTTTTTATGCAACAGACAAACTGAGAGCCAGTACAGGATCCTTCATAGATTACAACGCACGCCCCAGTCCTTGAACTCTTTCTATCCTGAAATCTCTCCCCTGTGTAGTAAATGCAAGCAGGAGGTTGGGTCTTACATACATTGCATCTGGCGCTGCCCTTTGATATTTAAATTTTGGGAAAAAGTCTTACAGGAAATTAACTTAATTTTTATTAAGAACATACAAATAGATCCTGGTTTATTTCTACTTAATCTTTCAGGAGTGGGTCTCCAGCAAAAACTCCTGTACAAGTTACTTCTTTTAGCTAGGAGATGCATTTTGTTTCAGTGGATCAAGCCCAGACCCCCATCTGTTAACCAGTGGTATGGAGAGATATTTAAAGTTCTGCCAATGGAGCGCCTGAGCTCAGTTTTAAAGGGGAACAAGAGTTATTTTGATAAGCTGTGGGCTCCCTTCTTGAACCGCTTACCGGGTTAGTCCGTAGAGGCCGCTGCAATGTGGATTGGCGCCCCCCTTGCACCTCTGTATCTCTCTAATGCTCTTTCTCAAGTGTTGATTTTGTTTTATTGATATGGCTGCACAGTCCCTGTTCCATGTATAATGTCTAAACTGTAAACTCTCTTAGAACTTTACATGTAAGGTCCATTACAGTATTGTTATTCTTGTGTTTGTTTTATTTCTACCTGTATTTTCCTTATTTTTATTTATTTTATTTTATTTTATTGCCTCTTTCCATATGTCATTCAGTCTGTGATATGTTTTTACTTGCCTCTGCTGTCATGTATGTTCTCTGTTCTGTGTCTGTTTAAAAATGAATAAAATACTGGATAAAAAAAGATAGATAGATAGATAGATAGATAGATAGATAAATAGACATACACTTTATTAATCCAAAGGAAAATTAAGTTACTAGCAGCTTATTACATGATGCACACAAAAACACAGATACACATAGGGATAGAGAATATAAGTGTAAGAACAGAAACACACAGCAGTGACATGGAGTCCCAGGACTACTCCAGAGAGCTGTTACTACAGTAGATATGCCTATAATGCAAATTTAGGTGGTTGACAGTGCAGGTGTCACATGTAAGGTGATTACATCAAAGTGTGAGAGCACTTACAGATAATATAAATGCAGTTGAAGATAAATATATGTACAGATATCAATGCAAATACAGATTTGTCTTTTGGAGAAGGTGCTTAAAAGTAAAAAACATGTAAAATTAGGAATAAGGAATGCTGGGAAATATAAATTCTAAAATGCACAGAAGGCTGAATATGAAATGCTAACAGGATGGGTAAATATATACATAAATATAAATGCAAATAGGGTGTAAATATCGAAAAAAAAAAAAAAAGGGCAAGCAGCCTAAAGACAGTCGAGCAGGTGAGTTCTCATTGATGAGAGGAGTTGAATAGCCTTATGGCCTGGGGGACAAAATACTTCCTCAGTCTGTCTGTTGAGCAGGACAGGGAGAGAAGTCTGCCTCTGAACACACTCTGCTTAGTGAGTGTGCTGTGCAGAGGGTGGTGGGCATTGTCCATGATGGACAGCAGCTTGCTACAGGTCCTCCTCTCCAGCTCTGCGCCATCTACAGAGCCAGCTCTCCTCACCAGCCTGTCCAGTCGAGTAGCGTCCCTCTGCTTAATGCTGCCACCCCAGCACACCACAGCGTAGAGGAGAACGCTGGTGACAACTGACAACTATTGATTAGCAACAACATATTTTTTAATTACAAAACGTATGCAGCATGTCCCATTTCTGATTTGTATTTTACTGGATTATAGTCTGGGTCTTCAACAGGTGGTCCGGGACCCCCAGGGGGTCCTCAGAGTTACTGCAGGGGGGCTGCCACAACTTCCTTGTCCTATCTCAAATTGAAGTCTCCTCCCTCACCTACCTGAAAAACAAACACAGGTCATGACTGCAGACTGAGGCTGATATGGCCTTCTGCCTGACAACCTCCATCTGCCTGGTTTAGTATACATGACTTAAACGGGACTACTACGAACTACAAAGGGTCGTGTGCTGGTGACGTCATAGGTGATAGAAACATGGGATTTTGACTGGCGGCGGAGCTCTTCACACACATAAAGTGTAATGTAAAACAAATCAGTTGAGTCTTTCCCCTTCGGATGAAATGGCCAGTCAGGCTACATGCTACGGAGAGAGTTTAAGAGGTCCTGATCCCCTTTGGTACGACGAGAAAGTGAAAATGATAGGAGGCGTGTGCCCTTTTCAGCTGCCAGCCTCTGTGTGGACGAATGACCCTGTCAATTCAATTCATGTCCTGTTGATTCATTACTTAACATTCATTAGAATATCTCATGTTATTGTTGAGATCAACTGACTTTAGCTAGCTAGCTAATGTTAGCTAACTAACCTGTGAAGAAGTGCCCGCCACAGACGTAAGGTTAGGTGTAGTGACTGGCTGGATCCACAGCTTTCTGTCTTTACCCTGCCGTTTGATGGCTGTGAGCCACAGAATTTTTCTTTCAGGAGCATATCTATGTTTCCTGAGTTCTATATTTCCCGGGTTCTATGTTCCCCACTTAACCCTGCAATATAGGTTCTATGTTCCCCACTTAACCCTGCAATATAGGTTCTACATTCCCCGCTTACACAAAAAAAGGTTCTACGTTCCCCGCTTACACAAAAAAGGTTCTATGTTTCCCGCTTACACAAAAAAGGTTCTATGTTTTCCGGGTTCTATGTTCCCCACTTAACCCTGCAAAAAAGGTTCTATGTTTTTCCGCTTACACAAAAAAGGTTCTATGTTTCCCGGGTTCTATGTTCCCCACTTGACCCTGCAAAAAAGGTTCTATGTTTCTCGCTTACACAAAAAAAGGTTCTATGTTTCCCGGGTTCTATGTTCCCCACTTAACCAAGTGGGAAACATAAAACCCTTTTTGGTTGAGTGGGGAACATAAGACCTTTTTGAGTGGTAAGCAGTGAACACAGAAACATAGAACCAGGGAAACAAAGGGATGACCCCCTTCTTTCCCCGTTCTTCATTCTCTGCGGGAGCAAAGAAAATCGCAATTCTTTTTTTTTAAATTGTTTGCTGTGCAGTGAACAACGCAGCAACTTTTTGGCATGATGAACTCCTAGCCGTGACTAGCGTCTCTCCCGGGTCGAGTTCAAAACTTTCACACAAGAGGGGGCGTGGCCGTTGTTACAGCAGTGAGTGACGTTGTGTTGAAGTCATCTATGCAATGCAACAGGGTGCACCAGGAGTGAGTCCAAAAACCTGGACATGAGTTAACATTTTACGACTAACAGTTCCCTTGTCTCAAAGTCGAGGGGTTTTTAAACATAACATGTAGTATGGGGTCCCTGCATCTCACAATCAGTGGTGGAAAGATTCTGAGTATTTCCATTCTGTGTTAAAAAATATTGTACAAGTAAATATTGCACTTTTTACTGCATTAATTTAACACTTTTTTGTTACCTTTACAGATATAAAACAATACTTTAACTCACATCCAAGGTTTTTACATCTCCTTTTATTTCTTTTTATGAAGATATAGACAGTAAACCAGGAGTAATTTAGATTGCAAAATTATATGTATTCATACATCTGTGTCACAATCAAGCATTTTTAAATGTACACTGGTAAGACAATTACAGTAGATCTGCAGCCTCAACACCCTTTATGTTTCTTGTTTCTGTGCATCTTTACTTTGTGATGTTTTGACACTCTTGCACACAACGTTTACAGTATTAAGTTTGGATGTAATCAGACTACTGTAACTTCTTGAGCCCTGATTTTCCCCTTAAACATCTTTAAAATTAGAAAAACACTATTTAAATAAACCTTTGTATTGCAGCAGTGAGTAACAGTGGGATTAACTGAAGATCAATATGATATAACACCAAAAATCAATAACTGAGTTTATAAGAATCAGAGGAAAAGAAAAGTCTTAATACACTGAGTATTACCAACAAATATTTTCTTTTATTTAAGACCTCTTCATCTGTAAAATCCACCTAAATTCAACTGAAATGCCTATCCAAGGCTTATCCAAAGTAAACTGAAAGCTGCTCTTGTTCCATTTTTAGTACATGTACATGCATGGTCTCATTTAGAAGGAAACACTGAAGTTTTTTCCCCAACAGCGAGAAGTGCCATAAGTGCTTCTATCATTGACAAACTGAAAGTAAAGTAAACACACTGCGTCAGTAAAACACAAACTGACATTTTTTTTCGTTCAACAACAAACACACATAGTTGGGTTTAGGAAAAAAGAACAGGGTTCTGCTTTGGAATGTTATGGGACGGAACACCACTCTCTCAGGTGAAGATCCGTGTTTGTTGGATTTATTCACCAACCCTCCCGCCCACCCCACTGGGACATTTGTCACTGTACCTTTCGCCCTTGTCCCGGCACTTTTCCCCCTGATGCCACCATTGTACCTGCTGTGGTGATTGTATCTTGAAATGGTCAACATTAATCGAACCACAAGGAGCGTGGCTTTTGAACAATAGGTTTTATGAGTAAATCAGTTAAACAAAGCAAATACAGCAGTTATTTACATATTATAATCATTAAATAAAACCTTATGAGGACCCCTGGACGGGTCGTCAGATTGCTATTCACACTGATCGCTTCCATGCAAAATCAAATAATTGCTCTATTCAGTGTGATTGACAGGAGTGATGATCAGAGGTGCAGAGTTTTTACCACCATCATTAGGACAAGGACCAATGTACAGGTGAAGTTTCTCAGTGAAGGAGCAGCCAGTAAAGGAGTAGATGAGAGCTGCAGCATCTACGTCATAAAAGGAGACCAGACCCTCCTCATAATCCACAAACACCCCCACCTTCTGAGGACGAGACTTCAGAGAGAGACGGACTGAAGGTTCATCCAGAGCTTTGTACTCATCGCCATTTCTCAAAGAAATTGTCCAGTAACCTTCCTGAGGGCTCAGTGTGATGTTCTCTTTCCTGTTGATCGACTCTCTGGCCACTCCTAAAGTCCATTTAGTTTTTCCTTTTACTTGAACCTCACAGTAAAATCTGCCTGAAGAGAAACTCTGCTTTCCCAAGACACAAATACAGCTGGAAACTCTCTCAGGGTTGTTTGGGAGGTTCCTCTTCACATCACGGTGATGCACTTGTTTCCCGTCATCAGACAGGATGAGACATGGATGTGCTGTGTCAGGATCAAGAGTCACATCCACTGCAGACTGCTGGACCCAATTCAGCTCAGCTTTAAACAGATGAGCAATCCCTTCACGGACTTCCTCCATCAGATTAGCTGCAGCTCGCTCTACAATTCTCTCATAAAATGATGGACGGACTCTGACCTCTGTCCAGTCCTTGGTGGGTGGGGCGGCTGACAGGGATGAGAAACTTTGGAGGAGGTGAAGGTGGTCTTCAGAGAGTGAGAGCTGCTTCACCTCAGCGCTTCTCTTCGTCAGCTCAGAGATTTCCTGTTCCAGCTCTTTGATTACGTCATCAGCCTGTTTCTGTTTTGTTTTCTGCTTCTCTTCAATTTCCTTAAAGAGCTTGTTCATGCTTTCCTCAACAAACTTCTTCAGCTCAGTGAAAAACTGAACACCATATGCTATTTCTCCGTCTGCATTTTTCTTGCTAAGTTTGACTGACCGTTTGATCTTCTGAATCTTCCGTTGTCTCTTCTGGATCATCTGTTGAATTTCAGCCTCTGTCTTCCCCAGCTCAGCCTTCTTTCCTTCATATCCTTCTTTCAGAGGAACAACATCATGTGTCTTGTGGTCTAAAACAGTGCAGAGCATGCAGACACATGTCTGGTCGGTCTTACAGAACAGATCCAGAGGTTTATCGTGCTTCGTACACATCCTGTCTTCCAGGTTCTCCACAGGGTCGATCAGCTGATGTCTTTTCAGGCCTGACATTGTCAGATGAGGCTCCAGGTGAGTCTCACAGTAGGATACCAGACACACCAGGCAGGACTTCAGGGCCTTCAGTTTGGTTCCAGTGCAGACGTCACAGGGAACTTCTCCTGGTTTGGCAGCTTGTTGCTGTGAGCTGCTGCTGCTGGCTTTCTGTTGAGCTGACTGTCTGAACTGAGCGACCATCTCAGAGATGAATGTGTTGATGTGCAGCTCAGGTTTGGTGGCAAAGATCTCTTTACACATGGGACACTGTAGGGAGACGTTGACATTCCAGTTTATAGTGATGCAGTTTTTGCAGAAGTTGTGTCCACATGATGTGGTGACTGGATCATTGAACACATCCAGACAGATGGGGCACAGAAACTGATCCTCAGACAGTAGACAACTGGCTGCAGCCATATCCAAACACTTGGAACACAAATGGAAAAGTCAAATACAACACTTGTTTTTTGGTTGTTGGAATGTTGAAGGGAAATTATCTTTTTTGTTATAACACTGGAACACTAGAGACCTACGGTGGCTCAGCTATGAGCATATTATTTTGCGTAAGAAGAAGTAGAGCCACCAGTAGAAAAGCCACCTGCTTAAACAACCTGCTCTCATTTCATAACTTGTTAAATACTTTCACCTGAGAGAGCGTTGTTCGCATCCTGCAAGATTCTCAAGGCAAACCCTGCTCTTTTTCCTTAACCCAACCATGTGTGTTTGTTGTTTAGTTTAAAAAAAAACGTCAATTTGCGGTGTTGTACTGACGTAGTGCTTTTATTTTTAAAGAGACTTATGTAAATGTTAAATTTCCCGTGAAAACAGAAGTGTATTTTGAAAACAGACAATGCATGTAATAGGCAGAACCTGACACAGCGTCCCAGAACGTCAACAACCAACACACCCAGGGTACCTTGGACGTCGTATGTGGACATGGACAGTCCATGACCAAATGTGGACATGTGACGAGGTCAGAGTGAGAATGTGTTGAAAAATAATCTTTTTAAAAAAAAATGCTATGAAGAGTGTCCCAGTGTCCCAGCTTTCTCAGATGGAGTACTTATAAAGAAAACAAAAACTGAGCCAGGAAATCTACTGAAAGTAGTGGGACTGAATCCCTGTTATTAAATTTACTAGAAAGGTTCAAATCTTGAGACTCAAGTCCCAAGTCAAGAAAGGAAAGTCCCCTTTGAAATCCTAAAAGTTAAAGTTTGGGTCTCAAGTGCTTGACACTTTGTAATGTGTTTTTAATTACAGTTAATGCCACTGCAAAATGTAAACAAGCACTAACAGCAAAAAGTTAGCACCATATCTGCCTGAATACATTTGAATGTCATCTAAATGTTAATGTTAATGCATTCACAACAGCAGGTGGCACCTGTCAATAAGAAGCTCCAACTACATATGAGTCACTCAGGTGACAACTCCAGAGGTAGGTGTGACAAAGTGATGCAGTGTCTGTGCTGGCTTTTGAAAACAAAAACCGAAACAAGACGACACACCCACAGCCTGATTTCTTATAAATGATTGCTCTGACTGAACTGACACTGCTGCATCTCACTGACTCATGGTGTTAAATGGTATTTTTTGAGTGACAAAGGTTAAACAATATTAACTGAATCATCTCCTCCATAACAGCTCCCGTCAGTTGACTTTATTTTTAATTCTGGTTGTTGAAAAGGGGGAAGGAAGTGCACGTGCAAAGTTTCTCTCAGCTGCTTGACAGAGGACACACACCAGTATTAAAAAGTATAGAAAGTCCACAACACTGACGTGCTCCCAGTTCATTTTTTAGACGAATTAAAGCAAATTATTTGGTGAAAATGAAAAGACCCATCAAAATATATATTGGGAGCTCCAAAGTGTGGCACACAAACGATAAATATCATCAGCTGTACTCACCAGTGTTCGTCAGAGACGCTGCTATGTTGTGGAGAAACACCTGACGGACTCGTGAATGAATTGTTCTTTGGTTAGAAACAGAGACTCATCTGGACTCCAGCTCCTCTGATGCTCTGACAAACTTTCTGTTTCATCTGAGGACTTGTTGTTGAACCTTGCCCCTCCTTTCTGTTACGTTAAGTAAATATTCCCTCACAGGTAGATTTTCCCGACAGGCTGAATAATCCCGCCTCTTTTTGAGGGTCAGTCACAGCTTCAGCTCCAGCAGTGGACTTCACTCACATAGCAGCAGACAGGATTTAATGGGTGTAACTTTCTGTACATGTCTGCAGGGGAGGAGCTGCCTGAGAGACAGTATTTTAGGGAAACTCCAGCTTTTTCCTTTTTGTTTTTATTCCTGTTTGCAGTGATGTTGCAGTTGTTTGTTGCCTCCCTCAGGTTTGGACGTCATTCTAGTGACATGTTTTGGCCCAAGTTTAGTTTCATTTCCTGGTGTGACAGTTGGTCATGATTGGAAAGTTGAAACATCACATAGCTTATTGTTGATCAAATGTAGCCAAAATAAAGCAGCACTTATTTTGTTGGCAATTAGAGCTCTGATCTGGACCAAAACAATCAGGCTCAACCCTACATGAACTCGCAGTTTCTGTCCAAACCCGAACTGAGCCCGACCTTCTGCAGCAGTTCTGGGACCAAGCCCGATTAGAAACCCATATTCCTACTGTAGAAGAACATCTTACTATATAATGAGGGAAACTGTGTGTGTGTGTGTGTGTGTGTGTGTTCCATGTTTTTCTCCTCACTGACTTGGTCAATCCATGTGAAATTTGGCACAGTGGTAGAGGGTCATGGGAGAATGCCAATGAAGCAATATTACATCAATTGGCCAAAGGGGGGCGCTATAGCAACCGATTGAAATTGCAAACTTTGAATGGACATATCTCATGCCCCGTATGTCGTAGAGACATGAAACTTTGCACAGAGATTCTTCTGTTCCTTCTGCTATTCAATAGCATGTCGATCCATAGTGATGCAGCGCACAGATGATGATTACTGCTCTTCTCTGCACATTAGCCTACATCTCTCCCACTGCTGGGGAGGCAGACGGAAACACTACTGAAAAAAAGTTGCCTTGCAGCCCCTCTCTGTCATTTCAATTCAGTTTAATTCAATAAGCTGTATTGGCTTGACAATTCTTGTGTTGGATTTAAGACAGTGAAAATTCAAAAACAATTAACAACTATGTGTTATTACAAATTCTTAGACATAAAGTTTAAAGGAACGTATGAAGTGAAGGAGTAAATAAAAAGGCAGAGTGTGATCTGTGATGAGATGAACGTGTTGTTGTATTGGTTGTGACATCACTGACATGTCTCGCTGCATCTATGGCGCTGACGCTGTTTTCTCCAAGCAGATGTTGCATGTCAGTGTGGTCAGAGAGTGAATCAAAATCTTGGAGTTTACACTGAACTTTTGTAAAGAACTTTGTTGTGATGTCTTCATATGTGCTACACTGGAGCAGGAAATGTTGCTCTGTCTCCACCTGTCTCTGAGGACAGAGCTGACGCAGCCTGTCTTCTGCCTTTGTCTGCCAGTCTCTATGTCCAGGCTGTGATCACTGAGTCTGTACATAGTCAGTATTTTCCCCACTCTCTGATTTGTCACAGTGGTCAGATAGTTTGCCATCATGTACTGTCTATTTAGGGCCAAATAGCATTGAAGTGTGTTTTGGGTTTTTGTGGTAGATGTTCAAAAGTTGATGTAGTTTTCTTTTTCTTTAGATATAATTTAGTTGAGCTGGATTGTGTGAGGGTTGTCCTGAGGCCTTGTGCTGTCAGAGGAGGTGAGCCTCAGGACCAGCTGACTGAGAGGACTCCTCTCTATGCTCTCCTCTTGGCAATGGAGAGCCTTGTAATGGTAGGAGTTGGTGTCTCTGTCTCTCCTTGTTTTATGTCCGTCTTTCACGTCACTCTCTACTCCGTTGTTACGACACTTTCCCTTTCAACATTAGGGGGACACACATGAAAGAGTGGAGTAAGGGGTCCTCTGCCAGAGAGTGTCAAACACTGTCCCCCTCGACTTTCATGTTTGTACTGGGGGAGATAAATGCACATGCTCTAAATATTGAGGGGGACATGTCCCCTGCATCACCCACCCTACCACCACACCCTGAAATCTACACCTGCGCAACTCTTTAATGTTGCAGCTGGTAAGGGTGGAGCTGATTTAAGGGTGTTTTACATATTGTCTTTCTTAGGGTGTTTTCACACGTGGTCCTTTTCAGCCCTCTAAGCGGACTCAGAGCAGTGACTCAGCATTTTTTGTTCAATGTGAACACTCCAAGAAGCTAACCTAACTCAGACCACCTCCCGGTCGCTTAAAGTCTGCAGTGTGGTTCACTTAACCTGTGCCTTGTGAACACAAAATGCTCCGGGTCCACTTTGCCTTCTGTTATTGTATTGTAGCCCTCCAGGCTTGCAGTAAACAGATCACATGCTATTTCAGTGGGAGGCATAATAAACACAATGGAACCATGGCCACAGGTAGCAACAACACGACCAGTGCACGAGGAGCACTTTGGTCTGATGATGAAATAACAATTTCTCCAGATATGGAACGAGGGAAATATCAAAGAGCAACTGTTCACAACGCACAGAAACGCTACGGCTTTCCTCCAATTTTAAGTTCATAACCGCACTGCAGCGTCACATCGAAGTAAAAACTGCTTTGTCAGATAAATGTAGTGGAGTAAAAAGTGCAATATACATCAACTGTACTTAAGTACAGTAACTGAGTAAATGTATGTCATTGCATTCCAACAACTGTGTTACCATCTCTCACAGTCGGTTTTGGAAAGTTACTAAGTATTTCCATTTTGTGTTAAAAAATATTGCCCATGTAAATATTGCACTTTTTACCACGTTAACTAAATACCTTTAGTTACCTTATGGGTTTAAAGTAATACGTCAACTCACATCCAAGGTTTTTACATCTCCTTTAATTTCATTTTAATGAAGATATAAACAGTAAACCCGGAGTAATTTAGATTGCAAAATGATATGTAATCATACATCTGTGTCACAATCAAGCATTTTTAAATGTACACTGGTCAGACAATTTAAAGTACTGTATGCATAGATTTGAAACCTCAACACCCTTTATGGCTTCTTGTTTCTGTGCATCTTTACTTTGTGATGTTTTGACACTCTTGCACACAGCGTTTGCTGTATTAAGTTCGGATGTGATCAGACTACTGTAACTTCTTGAGCCCTGATTTTCCCCTTAAACATCTTTAAAATTAGAAAAACACATTGTAAAATAATGTAAGACACAATATTCAGTTTGCATATCTTGACACATTATTGAGTAAAATGCAAATCCTGGACCCATAATCCAGTGATCTACACCTCCACATACAGTGAGAGTATATTAAGTGTTCATCATTTGTACATTTCAACTCACTTCCAGACACACTAGTGGGTCCCACAGGGTTTGCAGGGTTAAACACACAGCATGGAGAAACCTTTGTATTGCAGCAGTGAGTAACAGTGTGATTAACTGAAGATCAGTATGATATAATACCAAAAATCAATAACTGAGTTAATAAGAATCAGAAGAAAATAAAAAATTACATTGAGCATTACCGGCACATATTTTCTCTTATTTAAGACCTCTACTCCTGTAAAATCCACCTAAATTCAACTGAAATGCCTATCCAAGGCTTATCCAAAGTAAACTGAAAGCTGTTCTTGTTCCATTTTTAGTACATGTACATGCATGGTCTCATTTAGAAGATTTTTTCCTCAACAGTTAAAATTGCCATAAGTGCTTCTATCATTGACAAACTGAAAGTAAAGTCCTTCAAAAACAAAATCACGTGGTTGGGTTTAGGAAAAAAGAACAGGGTTCGGCTTTAGAATCTTACGGGCCGGGGAACACCACTCCCTCGGGTGAAGATCTGTGTTTGTTGGATACAGTCTATGTTGCCTGTAAGCAGTTCTGGAGGTGAGGAGTGTCATTAACTACAAGTCCCATGAGTCATTGGGCCAACTTCTGGCTGTTGATTGGCTCTGAGACCCAGGGAAGAAAGGCAGGGCCTTTAGTTGAACACAGGTCTTCGCTGGCTGTTGAGGCCACAGTGATGGCATGGGATTTCGTCGTGTCAATCAAAAGGTCAGAGTTCAGCCACTGTTTTGATAGTGAGCTATTGGCAATATTTACATGCAAACTGGAGTTATTATGGACAGTGTGGAGAAATATGAAAGTTTGAAACACTGCAACAGCAGTTTGAGGATATCTCTGGACGTAACAATGTGTTTGGACTATATATCTCGCTGGGTATGGATTGTCTAGACATGTGGGAGTGCATGAGGACTGTTTATTGTTGGATTATTATCTGTTGATTATAATAACGCTTCAAAGGTGAGCTATAACTGTTTGTTTGTTGTTTGTCTGACAGAGGTGATTATTATACCTGCTGTGGTGCTTGTATCTTGAAATGGTCAACATCAATCAAACCACAAGGAGCGTAGCTTTCAAACGACAGGTCATATGAGTAAATCACTTAAACCAAACAAATACAATAGTTATTTACATATTAAAATCATCAAATAAAACCTAATGAGGACACCCGCACAGGTCGTCGGATTGTTATTCACACTGATCGCTTCCATGCAAAATCAAATAATTGCTCTATTCAGTGTAATTGACAGGAGTGATGATCAGAGGTGCAGAGTTTTTACCACCATCATTAGGACAAGGACCAATGTACAGGTGAAGTTTCTCAGTGAAGGAGCAGTCAGTAAAGGAGTAGATGAGAGCTGCAGCATCTACGTCATAAAAGGAGACCAGACCCTCCTCATAATCCACAAACACCCCCACCTTCTGAGGACGAGACTTCAGAGAGAGACGGACTGAAGGTTCATCCAGAGCTTTGTACTCATCGCCATTTCTCAAAGAAATTGTCCAGTAACTTTCCTGAGGGCTCAGTGTGATGTTCTCTTTCCTGTTGATCGACTCTCTGGCCACTCCTAAAGTCCATTTAGTTTTTCCTTTTACTTGAACCTCACAGTAAAATCTGCCTGAAGAGAAACTCTGCT